CCCCGCCGCTTCCATTTCGAAGCATAGAATGTTTTCTTCCGCAGCAACCTTATCCCTGACCGAAGCATCTTTCATTAGCTGATTTCCTGAGGCAACAACGCCGTAGTGGATTGTCGGATTATCCTCGTCTTGAGTTCGTTCGGGTCGCAGTATCAGCTTTGACAGATCAGCACCACAGGCTGACACGCAGCTTGAGTCGCTATCGGCGGGATGCACAACTTCGGACTGGTACAGCCTATCACTGCTTGGGTCTGGCCGGCTGTACTTATTCCGCAGTCTTGGCTTCTTTCGGAGAATGTCGTTTATATCCTCTTCAAGACGGTGGCCATCGCTTTCGTACTGACCGCTAATTACAGTCACCGCTGTGAGCAGGACGGATGGAGGTTGATTGAGAAACCCCGTTGGCCTGAAACTCTGATCTTGAATGGTCTTGCCAAAGTCGTACTGAAACACGCCTCCTTTTCCCCCTCGAGGAGCGCTGACAACAATGTCACCTAGGCGGATATCATGCTTTTTGCTTGGCGCACCGCCCCCAATGCCGACCATCAGACCAAATCTAATATTAGGAAAGCTGTGCATCATGTCTCTTGCGACATTTGAAGCTGTGGATATGCCGTACTGACCGTCGGGCAAGACAGCAATAACGACATTGTGCTCCCCTATTTTGCCTAGCGTATAAGCATTGTTGTCATTAGGCGACACAACTCCCGGTCCTTTGTGTTCCTCGTCGAGAAATGCTCGTGCAGCAACGTACTCCGTCCTTATAGCGCATATCCAGCCGATTGTGTAGTCATTTGGATTAGACATGTTCGCTATGGGATGACCCAGACGGAAAATAGGCTAGAAAGGACAATCAGCGTTTGGTTGCTGAGGTTTCTCAAAAAGAGTACTTGACTCCACATAAATGACCAACCTCAAAGTACAACTTATCCCTTCTAGTCGTGGGGATTCGGTGAGATTTTTGGATCCACGCCAAAGCTCGATTGGTAGAGTGTATAGTACCTCAAGAAAGAATAATAATCATAAAGGAAACCAGGACACTGCGACTTTCACTCAAACCAAAAAGCGACCAGGCAATATTGGGCAGAAACAAGTCGCTAAGGAATTTGTCATCAATCATGCTCTCAGGCAACCCCCTCGACCGCGGGCGCTTACGCGCGGTTGAATGTGCACCTCTCGCCCAATGATATTGTTCTGAT